CTTTCAGAGTATATGTAAAATTAGGAGCTGAGCAAGTTTACTTAAGACACCAAAGTTGGTTATCTTAATAAAATAACTAGGTATTGACGATTTTAGTACTGACGGATTTTTAGTTATTTTTGTGTAAAAAGGATTTACAGAAAAAGTATTATATTAAATTAGTCTATTAAAATGTAATAAAATAGATATATAATAAATGTGATAAATAAAATTTAATTAATTAGAAATTTAATCATTAAAAAATTATAATAAAAAAATTAATAAAATAGTTTATTAAAATATAATTATTATAAAATGCACTTATGGTGTTTATGGTGTTAATAAGTTTTTTGCTAAAATTTAGAATTAGAGCACAACTACAGAGTAAGATAAAGGTTAGAAATAAATACATCTCAGTAATACTAATTAAAAATGTTCAGGACCCCAAAAACTATAAGTTAACTAAAATTTAGTTCTTAGCTAATACATTTTTGAGATATAGCAACTATGATATTTAACACTAATAGTGCATTTTAGTAAACTTGATTAAAATATAATAAAATAAATGCATAATAAATATGATAAATATGATAAATAAAATAGATGATTATTGCAATAAATATAATATTTAACAAAAACTTATTTGTCATTCATTGTATCAATGCAAAAACATAAAAGAATATATATGTCTGAACAAAAAGCCACAAAAAATGAAGCTAGAAAAAAAAATTGGCTTCTATAACATCTAAAAAATAGTTAAGTTACTGAAATAATAAATCAACAAAAAGGCAAAATTGATGCAAATGTAAAAATAATATTGTTAAAAAAGAAAATACAAATTCAAATGAAGAATGTAATATTTGTTTATATTTTTAAATTATAAAATACATAACAATTTATATTAATTTTAAATTATAAAATACATAACAATTTATATTAACTAAGTTTTTTTTAGAAGATCCAAATATTTTGCCATTACCACCTGCATGTTAACTTTCTGATTATAATCAGTCTTCTGAATAAATTTTACAATAAAGTTTCTGTACTTAAATTCAATTTTTGTTTTATTTGTAAAAAGAGCTTTCGTATGATTGTATTAGCATATAAAATAGAATTATGTGGTAGATGTAATTGAAATAAATTAGTGTCCAAAAGATTTTCTAATGAAAATAATATGGATTCTGGTATATAAAATAAAAAACCATATATTATGTAAATAATAATAATAACAATAATAATATAAATTTAAACTTTTACTTATAAAAGAGATTTCTGATAAACTTTTTTAACTTAGCTAAGTTGAAAAAATAATAATTGCACAGGTTCTTTTTAAATTTACTATTTATAAGTTTCAAGACAAGCAGCTTAGATATTGAGGAAATGTAGTTAATTTTTTGCAAGACATTCAAGAGTTTATTATAAAACTACTTCAGAATCCTTTTATAATTAATATTTTAATTGTTTGAAAGTCTGGCCAAGATCTTATCTTATTTCAAGATTTTAAAGTTAAACAATTGAATATTTTAATCTGGTTAAGATACTTCAAAAATAATAATCCTTTTTATTTTAATATAAAATTAATTAAAATCTATTGCAAACATTTCCAAAGAATGGCTATATGTTTGACCAATTATGTACTATAGATAACAATAATTTAATAGATGAGAATATGGTTTTTTTAAATTATAATCAGAATTCTAATAACATTTCTAATATTTCTGAAGATTATATTAAATATAGTTTTATACCTTATTCTATTTCTAAAAAAACTGAAGAAGTAACTACATATAATAAAATTAACCAACTTGCAAATTTAGATATTATTATATTGATTAATTGGCCTACTATTAAAATACACCAATTAATGAATTTGAAGAAATTGGTTATATAAGTTAAGCATTTCCTACTTTATTTCCTAAAAGCAAAACAGATTTACATAGTATTCAACAATATCAACAAGTATATCCTGCTAAGTATTTTGAATATTTAATAAAATATTATGATAGATAATTTGCATAGCATAAAAGATTTTATTATTTTGCATTAAACTTAATAATAAGATAGAGGTACTTGAAAAAGGTAATATATATGTATATCAAAATTTACAAGATGCCTATTTTACAGTAGAAAATGTTCAAGAATTGCTTGATACTAATAATTCATTAGCTGACAATATTGTTTAATGCAGTAATACTCTTAGAAAAATATGATCTTATTGAAAAAAAATGCATAATAAGCTTATTGATATGATCAAGCAAATTAGTGCAAATGGATTAATCTTTTTTACATTTAGTACTGCTGATTTATATTGGCCAGATCTTTACCATCTTATGCCCAATACTAATATAGTTATTGATTTAACACAAGCTGCTCAAATATGATATTACATTTTAAATAAAAATTTTCATATAGCAATATGGTATTTTATGCATTAGTTTGAAATATTTTTAGAGCATGTTTTAATACCTAAGTGGGGTCTCAGTAATTATTAGTATCGATATAAGTGGTAATACTGAGAATGTACACATGTGCATAGTATTAGAAAAGTTTCTAACACTAATTTTTAATTAAAAAATTATACAGCAAGATGAAAATTTAATGAGAAGTATGATTATATATGTTAATTCAATTGTTATAGCTATAAATCCAAATAGAACAATGTATACTTCTAAATAACATCTATGTTAAAAATTATTAGAAGAGCTAACAAATAATTTTGATAACTATTGTCAATTAGTTAATAAAATTCAAAAACATACAAAATGCTTATATTTATATCTTAGATTAAATAAAAATACAAATTTAGAAGAATGTTAATTTGGTTATTTAAAAGAGTTATATAATTTTACTATGATTCAACTTAATAATAATGGTCAACTGGAACTGTAACTATATCATAATAATCTATTGATTAATCTTTATTGTCAAATTTTACTTCAAAACTGAAGAGCCAATGTTGATATAAAACCTATTTTTTCTTTTTATGCTGCACTCTTATATATTGCAAAATATGCTAGCAAATCAGAACCTTGGTCAGAAACATTTAATCAAATATTTTCTAATTATCTTGACAATGCAAAATCTGATGAACCAACTTTAAAATTTATCAAAAAACTTTTATTACATACTGCAACTAAATAAGACTTTTCTTCTCAAGAAACATTATATCTTCTTCTTAAACTAACATTAATTGTATCATCTTGCACATTTTTTACTCTTAATTTTAATAAAGACAGGGCAGTATATAAACTAACTTGTAATAACAATGTTGATCAAATTAATAAGAACATAGTAATTAGAACTGAACAATCTTATTTGTAATTCTATTGAAAACACTCTTTTAATTTTGAAGAGTATTTCTTATTTAATTTAAATAAAAATTACATATATAGCTTATATATATGCAAATGGACTTTATGCAAAAAGCATTGTATTATTAGAATTTGGCCTTGTTCATCATTAGTTTGCTTTGGGACATAATAGAAAGATTATTGTAAATTAAAGATTTTTCTTCATATTTCTCATTAGAGGATAGATAATTTTTTATATAAAAGTACTAATATTGATTGGATTGAATTTTATAATCAATTTCTACTCAAATTGAACTTAACAGATATGACTTACTTGTTAAGCCAATAGACTATGAAGAGAATTGGAAAAATAATAATGATAATGAATATAAGGGCTTGAAGAAGACAATACAATATTTTAAGACCTATGAATACAAATAACTACAAGTTATTTACAAATTGTAACTGAAGATTTTGAAGAACATTTTATGAATATTAACTACATGTGATCAAGTTTATATAAGCTATTTCTAAATTTTAATGAAGCAGAATTATTTTTAGATTAAGCCAAATGTAGTCAAATTAAAAATATATTTTACAATAATATTGATAAGACTTTTATTGATCCCATTACATTAAATAAAAAGTAAAGACAAATTTATGATTATATAACTTTATATTATTTAATAATTTTAACAAATTTAGCCAATCAATTAATTAAATCTCTACATGCTATTATTATGAGTACGACTGGTACTGGCAAGTTTTATGTTATTAAAATTATTCATAATCATATATTTGAAATAGTATAAAAACATAAAATTAATCTAAAGAACAAATATATTAATTCTTATTCCAATATAAGTTGCAACTTTTAATATAAATAATTGCATAATTCATTCTGTATTATTTCTATCTAATAACCTTAAAACTTTAGAGCTCAAACCCAAGTCCTTAAAAAGATTTCAGCAAAAATTTAAAAGTGTTAAAATTATTATTTTTGATGAAAAAAGTATAATTGATCATAGACTGCTAGTAGTAATTAATTAATATTTACATTAAGCTTTTTTATAATATCAGAATATTTTATTTGGAGGTTGCACTGTATTATTTTTTGGTGACTTTGGCTAGTTACCATCAGTTTTAGACCTTCCTATATATGCTTTAGACCCTTGCTTAAACAATTCTCTTTTAAAAGCAGATCATATGATCTATGCTCAATTTAATAAGACATTTAAATTAGAAATAATACAATAGCAGACTGGTGATTCTCAAGAATAGAACATATTTCATAATCTTCTTTTGCATTTATAAGATGGACAATTAACAGAATATGATTGACAATTACTTAACAATAGAATTTATTCATTAATGTCTTTAGCAGAAAAAACTGTTTTTGAAAATATAATTTGATTATTTACTAAATAGGAAAAAATTATCAAATATAATATGATGAAGCTAAGGCAACTCAATTTTCTAGTTGCTAAGATAAAAGCTATATATAGTGGTTCAGATACTAGAAAAACACCTTCTGACATAACAAATGGTCTTGAACTAATTTTATTTTTATTAGTTGGAGCCCGTATGATGCTTATCTCCAATATATAGACCAATTAAAGATTGGTAAATAGTGCAATGGATACAGTTGTCAATATTATATATGAACTTAGAAAGACACCACCTACATTGCCTACAATAATACTACTTAGAATGGATAATTATACAGGTCCAACACTATCTATGTTAGATAGTTCACAGGTGGTACCAATTCACCCAATTAGGTATACATGAAAAGGAAAGTCAGAGACTTGTTCTTGTATGCAATTTCCATTGTGCCTTGCTTGGGCAATTACGATCCATAAGTCGCAAGGCTTAACATTATCACAAACTGTATTAGACATTGGCAATAAGGAATTTGCTATAGGTCTTACATTCGAAGCTATATCAAGAGTTTGTGCACTTTTTGACCTTCTTTTTAATAATACATTTCCTTATAGTAGATTACAAAAATTGGGAGAAAGTACACATTTGCAGCAAAGATTAGCCGAAGAACAGAGATTACTTTCTTTATGAATTAATTAATTAAAGTTGATGTCTATTGAAATGCATGTGCACAAATATAAACACAAAAATATGCTACTTAAAATTAACACATATCTCATTATTTACATTATATATTTTTTATGTTCAAGCACCTAATAAATAAGGCTCCAGCCCTATGAAACGTCGCCGTTTTGCTAGTTTAAGAACGACATAAGTCATGAATCGATGTATAACATAACATATATAACATTTTCATTTTTTTTGTAGTAATTGGCTGTTCTTGATTAGTTTATCAGCTTCTAAAAATTTTGTTTAATTTCTTCACTATAATAATTATTATAATCACTATAATTATCAACATGATTATCAACATGATTATCAACATTATGATTATCAACACGACGTAATTTAACATTGCTTATCATTGCCGACTATAAATGTTTTCCCAATTTTCTAGTTTATGCTTTGAACTAATTCATAAACAAATTATATACAAATTAACTTATACATAATTAAGTAATAAACAAGAATATAAATTTACATGTAAAAATAAATGCCTTCTTTAATAAAAGTTGACTATTTTTATTCGAATCTTTTATTATCTTGATTGCAACTTCTTCATATGTTCCATATTGTCTTTTATATAATGTTTTATACACTACTGAAAATCCACCTCTACCTACTTCAATGTTTTTGAAATTATCATATTCTATTCTTCGAAAACAATTATTATAATTACATTTATGTCGAGTAACTGCAGATTTTAAATACAATTCAAATGCTAAATCTTTATCCTTTTCTACACCAAATCCTTCCTGATAACACAAACCACTTGATTCATTCCACAGCGATATCCATATTCGGTGCCCATTAAATAAATTTCAAAGGCTTTTTGTTCATCCTTTTCACCTCCAATTCCATTTCGATAACAATTTCCAACACTACATTTTTGATAAAAAATAAAGGCCTTATATTAATCTTTTCAACCCATTTGCCATAGTCGTAACAAATCGCAAGAATGAATTGAGTCATAGGATCTAATTGATTATCTAAGCATATTATCTGGATTTTGCCGTTTTTTACAAGAAATTTTTCCAAGGCGTCAACAATTGAACGAAAACTTTCGCCTTTCAAACTTTCTTCATTACATAAATTACACATTTCTTTGATAATTTCATTAAGAATATCCTGTGACTTATCTTCTAAATACAATTGATTAATTTCGTTGGATATTTTAGTAAAATCTAATAAGTTTTCGATTTTTTCTGGTTATTTTTCATTTGACATTTTGACGTAACAATTGAATATGTTGGAAATACGCAGACTAGTCAAATTGTGTAACGTTCATTTATGCAATTACATAGGTGTATCTAGTGCTCCGATCAGGTTGACCCGAATGAACCGAAACCAACCCGGTCATAATGAATTTATTAGATGGGTCATGACCCATATAGTAAATTCATTATAACCGGGTTGGTTTCGGGTCATTCGGGTTAACCCGATCGGAGCACTAGGTGTATCACATACGCACTGTAACACTTTAACGAATTTTGTTACTGATTAAAACTTCTAAATAAATGCATTTAAATTACTTTTCATAATCAAGTTCTTCCTTTCTTTTATAAAGTCTTTCTAGCTTTTCAGTGTCAATTTCTCCATAACTTCCTAAAAAATTGAATCTAGCCTTGAGGAATTTCCAAGTCATCTGTGAGTAGCTTTAATGTAGCAATAGTATTTTCAAATACAAGTTTGAAAAAAAAAATTTCTTTACTATAATTTGAAACTAATTTTTTTTTTTAAAAAAAATATTTATTACGTCATTCACATTTTTGCCTAATAAAACCATTACTAGTATGTTCAAACGGAGTATTATTTATAGAAATTAATTTATATAATAAATTGTTAATTTGAAAGATTAATAAAAGGCATTTATAATAATTAGGTCACAGAGATTTAATATCTTTTATTTTCATTGCATGAAAGTTTTAAACAGACAGACGACCGGCTTTCTATTTTAAATCTAATAAAAATTTTATAACCTTTTTTATTAATTGTTTTTTTTAAAATCCATTTGGTTATTACAACTGTTTTCATTATTTTGGGACATCTGGTAAAAAATTGACCAAATGATTATTAGTTGATTTGATAAGTTTTTGATTTCGGTAAAGACGTGAACTGTGAATTACAATACATATAAATAAACTGTAGATTATTTAAAAACTACAGTTTTATAATAGCCTGCAGTTTTACAATAACCTACACTTTATTTATTATAACTAATAGTTTATTTATTATAACTAATAGTTTATATATTATAACTAATAGTTTATAATTCGCATCTCTAGATTTCGACAGTGATAAACTTTTGATTTGAGTGAAATTAGTTATATAACGATAATTAGATATATCGATATTTTTTGCAATTGAATTTTGAGTGATACTACAATGTCAGCGCATACAGAATTAAAGTTTTTGTCAAATATGCTTGGTGTGTTGTTCTTTCCAACCAACAGATCTTAACAAAAACATATATATAAGACAAGCCTTCATAGGAAATACCTTACAGAAACAGGCGCTAATGAAACAAAGTTTAATATAGACAAGAATTGATTACTGGCTTAAAAAAATATATATAACGCAAGTTATTATTTTAAACAAACAAGATTTTATTAATCTTTGTCGAAATCGTATTAAGAATTATAGTCAGCGAAATTAGAGTAATATTTTATTTAAAAGTTTTAATATAATAGCTGCTCGATACGTAAGTATCGAGGCAGCTTTTGTCTCGAATCATCTACTATCTGATCGAACATGTGATAGGCCCGTTTACTGTCACATGTTCGATCGATGATCGATCGATCGAACGAAAGTATGAGGTAATTGGAATAGTTAGTTATGTGATCATTGATTAAAGTATGATCGTTGAGTTAGTATCTTGGTTAGTATGAGGTAATTAAGTAATTATGTAGTAATAGAGTAATTATGTAGTAATTGAGTAATTATGAGGTAATTAGTTTGTAGTATATTAGTAAGGTTTGGGGAAAATGTGGTAAGATAATTTTGTCTTTTCTGCGAACCCGACTTTCGTTCTGGTTACATCGATCCCACCCACCCTTCCCGCAAGTTTACTTTGTTTGAGTAGATCGACCTGCTGGGACGGCAGTCTTTTGAAGATAGGGCAAGGATGGGTAGGTTATCTAGTCGTTTAAGTTTTTCGATTTGCGACCTGTTCGGACGACAGTTGCGATGATTAGATAGCCAGTCGAGACGACTGCTAGAAACAATAAGAATATTGATAATGTTAAGTCAGAATAGAAAGCTTATGCTAACCAGCCGATACTCATGAAGGCTGCGTAGGTTGCTCGATGACGGAAGAGGCACACCCATATATTGTTCTACATAGTTTTTTGTACACAGAAATGAGAGACAAACAAAAATAAAAATGTATGTGAATTTTCAAGGTCACAATTTTCGCGCGCACGTGACTTAGTGAGGTACATCGCAAAATACATAAATCTCGATTCTCTGGCCTTAAGGCCACCCTAAAACTGCATGTTTTTCATATTAAATAATTATAGACTGCCAAAATTAAAGTCAAACTTTAGCAGGAGCAAAGCGTACTTAATCCAAAAAATGATCACTCAACGAAGCTCTGGCAATGCCATTGTGGTTGTACTATATAATTTATATTCAAGTATGAAAAAATAATTTGGGCAACCTCTAGTTTTGAGTAAATCGCGGGTGTGAATAATTAGGGCGAAAAAACCTATCGTCTCTATTGTTGTAAGAGAACTTTTAGTGGAATCTCCATAGTAAATGTGAAAGCGTAGAGCGAGACATCATGTAGACCATAATAAGTAGAAGTTTTATTTTAACCCAATAAAATCCTAACTAATTTACACAATCGTATAAAAATAAAATTTGGTGAGGGGTATGGGACCACGCCCCTTCTTTATTTAATATTTTTTTGCCGGAATGACAATATACACATAAAAAATATATTTCGCTATTATAAGTGCGAATACAAATAAAAAAAAATCTAAATAATTTGTGTTTCTGATCCTGGTAATTGTTCTACAAGTACATGAATAGTATTTTGATCAGGATTATTACTGAAAAGAGTATAAAGATTAGTATGAGGATGCATATTCACATATCTTCCTTGGGGGGCGAAATATAAGAAACTGGCGAGGTGTGCTAGTTGCATCAGATGGTAATAGGGACAAATGGGCTTGAACTTGAGTTTCTAATGATTCAACATCACTTCCATTAGAAACTTTGATTTTAAAAAAATGATATGGTAAGCAGAGTGTGATGAGACAATTAAGATAAATATCGGCATAGTCATTATCCTTGGAGGCTTCAGGGTTGCTAGTCTTGGGGGTGGTGCTATCATTAGTGCTCATTTTTCATTCCTAAATACAAAAAATAGTAAGTAAAAATTCATTCTCATAACCGTGGTTAAATGAAATAGCAAATTACTTAACAAATAAATTACGGGCAAGTGGACAAGTAAAAAATATATATAAGCAAAAAATAATGTTATTGCTAAGTTATCTTATGGGTGGGAGTCTGCTTATTTTTATACTTCATGTTCGTTAGGTCTGAGAACCTGCCAGAAGGAAAATTCCATTAATAATTAAGTTACTCAAATCCAACATCAGTTTTTATCTCCATAAAGCAATTCCGTTCGGTTATAAGTTTCAAATACTGAATGTATTTTATTATTTTTTTTAAGTGAAATTAAACCCTCTTAGATTTGACGATCGCTTAAGGTGAATTTAGATCTGACGATCTTGAAATGGTGGAGATTTCAAGTTTATACAACATATGAAACTACTGATTAAGAACATTATACGTATTACCCTTATAATCTTTTTAAGTTCTATTCTTATCATGGGATCTTATATAAGATAAGGAAAAGATTCTAGAACATGTAGTAATTAACTGTTAATCAAAAATTGACCATGAAAAATGATTCTGCAAGAGAGTAACACTATATAAAATTTAATGCAGACTATTGATTATTAAAGCTGGTCAAGGATTTGAACTGAATATCAAGTGACGTGACATCGCTATTTTAGCTTTGTCATACTATCATATGACTTAATGGTCCTGTGGGTCCTGCTTTTATTTTGGCCTAGATCATAATGTATACATATTTTATTTTTTTCTAACATAGATCAATAGTGAAATAAGTTACAAACAGCTGTTATTTTTGAATGGTTATCAATGTGGTTGTGCTAAATTAATACATATTTATGTTTGTAGGTATTTGTACAGTATTTACACTTCTGCTAGATGTTTGATCAACATATTTTGATTATATTGCATAAATAACAAAGTTATTCTAAATTTGTAGATCCAACTTAAATATAGCATGTAAAATAATTACTGTACTCCGTATAGTCAAATGCACCTCAACAAGTTATTAATGTAATCCCAAATATAGAAAACATGTAATTGTTGATTGAATTGTCATGTCCAATAATTGTGATGCCAAATTTGATAAACAGCAATTTGTTAGAAAAATTACAAAGTTTATTATAATGTTAAATAAAGCAACGTACTAACCATTGTTTTGATGAATTACTATTTTTTAAAAAGTGTATTTTGTAATTACAAAGTGTTAAATTGTCAAGTTATGTTTTGTAACATATAATACTATGATAAAAAAATATTTGGCAAATTTATAAATTAATACACATTAGGAGTAACTATACCTTTAGTTATAATTGTATTTTCTAATAAAAGAGGTGCCTCTTAGCATAAACCCTTATAATTTATTTTTTATAACATTGTAAGCTTTGCTATATATATCACTAAAAATTTCCACCTATCAGTAATATATTAAGAATATTTTTTAAATTCATAAACAATGCAAGAATCTATTGAAAAGCATAAAAATAAAAATGAAATTTCTAACCTTGTTAATATATCCCAAGAGAAACCAACCAAAAAGTTGTTACATCATGCTTATTATAATAAAAAACATAAACTTGGAAAAGAACAAATTTCGACCCTACCAATGGACCACAATTTACCTATCGCACCAACTATAGCATTAATGATTAATGATATTATTTTTGATCTGAACTAGGTATATATTATTTATAATTATCAAATTCTTTCCTCACTGCTAGGATTGTTTTTGTGTTAATTGGTTGACCTTTCTAAGCTATTATTGAATATACTCAGATATGCAAAAAATTTCATTTTATAGTAGAAGCAGTAGGGCCTCTACTAAGTATATTTGTAGTTCAACAGATACATGGTTATTTTTTTAATAACCCAATAATTAGTTAGGATGGTTGGTCCAGTCCACAAAAATATTAGACAGAAGAGAATAAATCTAAAAACTCATCCAAATCTATTAATAAGCTTAATATTAATTTTATCTTTTGTGTTATTAATTATTAGTATCAGACCCAACATGCAACTCAGAGGTTATATATGCAAGATAAAATATTTTATATTGAAAAAGAGTAGAAGAGCATTTCACTTGGCCCATCTGATCGCATAGCATCAAAAGGAGTTAAAAGTTGAGAAAAAGTTTTTGCAGAAGAATTATTAATAGAAACATTAGTTTGAGAAGCTGTATTAGTAAACAGAGTTAAGCTATCCGAGATCCTGTTTGATTTTCTAGTGCTTATTAATAATAAGATAATTAAAGTCAATTATGTATCCAAGTGAAGTCCAAAACAAAAGATCTAAATGAACAATTGTGGCTTTTTCTTGAACAATGATTAGGGATGGAAGAACCACTCACAAGAAAGGATGTATGTTAGCATCTCCGATGTAAGTAGAAAAAACTGAAACATTCTATAGAAATTCAAAATTATATAGAATTACAAAATTCTTCAAATATAATAACTTCATGTATCTCTCGAAAAGAAAAGACCCAAATGATAATTTCTGTATAAGGTAATCTTTGATCACTAAAAGAGTTAGTGCAGTTTCAATACATTGTAAAACCAAAATGTGTTACTGATATGGATGGCCGAACTTTAATACATTTGGCATTACTTAATAATCCAAAGGCAGTTATACAAGTAACAGATGCTGTAAACTATTATTATTTTTATATCTTAAATAACTCTTCCCACTGTAGCGATGAATTCTGGAAGAATTTCATAGAACATTTTGGTATATATACACGAAATAACCTCCTCTCATTTACTAGTTCAAATACTGCAAGTTTCTATAAAATCATGCATCAAGAATGCATTGACACTTTACTTTACAAACTTGGCCCATTATCAACCTCTGTTAATGAATTTGTACAAGAATTCTATGGAAATCTATATGAAAAATTAGAGAAGTTGGTGTGGGAACCCTTTGCACCTTGACCCTTTGGAATCTTCTTGATGATTGCTTTTAATTACAATACAACTAGCGATTACTATTAGAATGAACATAACGAACCAAATAGTTTATACTATTTGGTCGCTTTCAGAGAATTTGAAGGAGGAGAATTATGTTTTCCTCAACTTCAGATCATTGTACTGCTTCGACCTAAACAAGTTGTGGCATTTTCTTCACATCTTCTACTGCACAATAATTTTCTACTTACAAAAGATATTCGTCATAGTATTGTATACTTTATACATGATACCTTTTTTCATAATCTACAGAAATTCGATGATGTATACAATAATCTGAAGGATGGGATTAAGAGAAATGCTGATGGGCATAATGTTCTTTTTATTAAACATCAAAATCTCAATAATGCTCAAGAATTGAATTTCAAAACTATGTTTTTTAAGCTAAAAAAAAAGCAAATAACAATTCTTCCTTCATCAATAGATTGTAGAAGGGGTCATATTTCTTTGGTATGTGCTAGGTATGGGTTGAGGGCAGAAGATCCACTTTCAGATTTATAAGTAATTGGTAGAAATATAATATATTTTTATTATATTACATATAAATATATAATGTATATTTAAAAAATAAATAAATAAATTCTTGTCTTCTTCAAACGTGTAGTTTTTACATAATTCTTGCTAATATGAGTTTACAATTCTCACTACAACCTAATATGCATCTCTTCCATTCTCATTTATATATCACTTACAAAATATGACAAATATACACAACTCATCTAATAATCCAATTTGTTCTAAAAATGAATCTGGTTTTAATCATATATATTGTACCAAATCTAATAGGTTAAAATACTTCTAAATATACTTAAATCTCATATAATCATTAAATATGTTGAGAGCAGAATATGATATAAATGAAAGGACTATAAGAACTGATGAACATAACATTCTTAATAGAGTTATCAATGCTGAGAGGCCTTATGATTTCATTAGTATGATCTTTGAAGAAGAAACACCTATTTAGTAGGATTGTCATGTTAGAATTACTCTTCAAGAGTTAATAGGTTCAGAAGGTCCACATTCTACATTTCATCAGTATTGCCTTTATGCTTCATATGTTCAAGGTGCAAATTTTGATAAATATAATTACAGCAGAGGTAAACCATATGAAGATGGTACTGCAATATGTTTTTGTTGTATGAAACTTATACATGTCAATATTAATTTAGGTTCGAAAGCAAATCAATTCGATTTAATGAAAGATCATTATGATTATGAATGCTTAAGACCACAAACCGGTTATAGATGCTTAAGACCATAAACTGAGTTTGGATGTGCAAGGGTTATACAAAGACTTTGGGAAAATTTTAGAGAAAGGGAACCATCAAATGCACAACTTGCTTGGAACAGTTTACCAAATGATGGTACTCCAGATGATAAAAAACTTCTAGGTTTAATGAGACATAAAGTAAAAAATCCTCAGACTTGAGAACAATTTGATCAATAGTATACTAAATGGATTGAATTATATAAAAACAATCCCATGATGTGCAGTTTCATTATTAATAGTCAATATAAAAAATATTATATCCCAGTTAATTGGATAGATTCTAAAAAGAGTCAATTGCAGGTTAGATTCCGAAAGCAACTTTTAAAAATAAAAGCATAGTATTTAATCAATTTCTTAATTATATTATTTATTTGATTCTTCAATTTTTTTGGGTTCAGAATTCATGGGCTCAGCTGGCAATACATTTTTTATCTTGTGTTTTTGACATAACTCTATTTCTTTCTGCAAATTCAGTGAAGTATCAAATCTTAAACAAATTGCTAATGGATTATCCTCTGACCTAGTAAGATCAAATACAATAAATTTGTTTTTTCAAAGGTAACTATTAATAACCATTAATGCATTTTTAACATCATCAGTATATTATCCAATTATTTTGGACACATTCTGATAACTACTGCTTTCATTAAATATAACTAAGTGGGTAAGATTTTTACAAATAATTATCAGGACATGATGATATTTTTGTGTTATATAAATTGGACTAATATTTCGATGACACCTATATATGAAAAATGGAATAATTCAGTTTTGGATAGACTCGGGAACTACACATAAATTCTCAAAAATAATTACAATACTCCTCTCTGGAGAAAATAATTTTACACTAGGAATTTTTTCAGGTGAGATATATTTAAATCTTATATTTTTATAGTAAGGTGCTTTAGGATTATCTGCAATTACAGGGTGTAGGTCCCATAGCTTAGTGGTTAAGCTCCCATGCCCCCACAGTCAAGGTCAATAGTTCAAGTCCAGCTGAAAGCAAAAATTAAAAGATTTTAGCCTCTGTAACCCAATAAGGAGCCAGTAATTGAACGTGAAGCTCTGTGGTTAAGTCTAAGTGCAGTACATGACCGAAGTAGGAATTCCCGGAAGGAGACCCAATCATGGAGCACAGGCACTATGTGTAACAAGTGGCTGTTACAGAAGGTTACAGTTATGGAAAGATTGCACATGTAAGTCCTTTAGGTTAGGGCAGCACCAACATCCCTATACCTTCTAATTAGGCAATACCAACATCTCCGCACCCAACTTGTGGGGTACTTGC